AACAACAGTAAGATCCTTGGAGGTGCAGAATTACAAAAAAAAAAAAAAAAAAAAAATAATGCATTTTAAAAAAAAAAAAAAAAAAATGGGGGGGGGGGGGGGGGGGAAAGAAGACAATCTCATCTAAAATGAAACTATTTTCAGCAAAGAGGGGGTACCTGCTAACCAGCTCATCTCTGTGGCATGACAGAACGGGCCCCTCCTGACTCCCCACAGTAAACACCTCTTTTCAGCAAGGACATTCAGCAGGAGAGCTTGTCCTTAGGAAATTCAAGGGGATGGGGAGAATGTACCGAAACAAAACAAATCATTTGAAGAGATCCATAGCAAAGTTTTCTGGTGATATCCATTTCATCATTGTCCAACAGTCTCTGTGGGAAGTATTAAAGCCCTTAAAAGCATGAGAAACAAATTCATGCCAGAAAGAAATGAGAATAAACTCTAAATAACATTCCTGCTCTGCTCTCCAAGGACAGCCACCTCTCACTCCTTCCATGAGAAAAGGTACTGCTCCTTTTAGTTGCCAGAAGGTCAATGGAGACAACCTCTCCAAAGGAAAAACATTTCTTTGGTTAGTACACAAATGCACTGGCTTCTCCCTGACTTTAATTTTGAGTTCAAAGTCCCATTGGAACCAAACCAAAAGGCACAAACCAAACATGAAAGCTCCAAGCTACCTTAAGTCCTCTCCACTTCCCTTTGTGCCCTTCGTGTGTAACTTCCCACCTGTCTAGTGACATCCTCAGGTGCCAGGAGCCCTGCACACTCCTTTTCCTTTTCTGATGTGGCCCAACACTCCCCACCTCCCTCCAAGCTGCAGCTGTAAAGAGGCCACAGCTGCACTCCCAGAACAGCAGATGTTCCCTCACAGATCCCAACAAACACACACAACTATTTCAACAGAAGACCGAGATACAGGCAAAGGATTCCTTTCTCAAAAGCTCACCTACCTGGCAATAATATTGTCAAAATCAGGGAGGCCAGTTCAACGCTATGCTGTTTCAAACGGGCCCTTTTCCTTACTCCCTCGCTGCTCCTCACACTGCTATTACTGACCACTGGCCAAGGACTAGGAACTCTTCAGGTTGGCCATAAAGATGAGGTGTAACCCCTGAACTGTAGTTTTCCAGCCTGAAACTTTTCCAGTTTATGAAACTTATCAAAAACCAAAACAAGGCTGAGAAATAAGCTGCAAAATACCATACACGAAACATCATCATAACCCATTATGTTGGTGTCCCTTCAAAGGATACTTTGAAGATACTTTATTAATGAGTTAAAACTATTGTCCTCTCTAGCAGCACTTACATTACTCCATATGCCTACAATGTCATCATGGTTTGCCTCTTGTAACAACCCCTTTATTTGAATCCATAAAGATAAATCTAAAACAAATTAACAGAGCCTTACACCTATTTTAAATGATGAGGGGGTTTTCCCCATTCCCTGTTCCTTCTGCTTTTCGCAATCAAAAATGGGCATTTGGCAGCAGTGACATCCAAGCCACAAGGAGCAGCAGTTTTCCTTCTCTCAGCACTACAGGGCAGTTTGTGGGAAGCCCTACAACCAAAGATTAGAACAAGCAGCAGCAATGTTTGCCTTGAGCTGATATTTTGCCTGTCAATCATGAATGTATTTTAAGTTTAATCCTGATGCTAAATTAAGCACACGCATTGTAAATTTTCTGCAACATTTTTTTACTATAACACACTCAGAGACTTCTATCCTAACCAATACATACCTTTTTCCTTTTTGTAATGTTTTTTTGAGTGCCAGGAGTTCCTTCTTGTTTTTAAGACATAGAGTTCTACACCACAGACTTTGTTACGTTTCAGTTCGTACAGTATTTTTGTAAAGGCATTATTGAATTTGTAACTGAAATAATTATACTTGGCAAATAAGCAACCTAAGTACACAGTGGAATGTGCTCTCCTTTCTTTTCCAACACTGCTCAGTTTTCCATTGGTTTGCAAATGTCAGTGGTCTGCTCTTCCATTACCATGAATGAGGAGTTTTTTGAGTACAAGTAACCAGGTGGTGCACAGCCTTCCACCCTACACCAGCTAATTTAATTTCTTTACTGCTGCCCCTCTGCATTCATACACTCTGGGAACCACATGCAATGGCTCAGATCGTTCTTATGAAAAGGGCACAAAGCATGGCTCAGCTCCTAAGACACTGCTCTGCAAGTATAAATCTCCCCAATGATTAACTGGGAGCAGCAGTGTCTTTGTCCAGGGACAAGGAAACCTCTCTAACTCCAGCAGAGCGTGGCTTTCCCCCATCTTTCTTTACATGACTTAAAAGCTTACGAGGTGTGCTCCATGTATCTTTGGGATTTGTTCCAAGTAAGTCAGATTTAATAATAAAAGATTCAGTTACGATCAGTAATCAGTCATTTTGATAACAAGTTTTTAACAGGACTTGCCACAGTTATTAGTGTACTGCAGAAAGGATCTACAGTAGGAACTGAAACAAAAATCCCGAGGGCGGATTATTTCAGCATATCAGGCAGCACCAACCCAGGATTTCCACCACACAGATAGTTTTTAACAGCTCGAAGACAGGTAGATGTTACACAGTGATGACAGATCCTTTGGCTTCAGTCCTGAACACACACAACGCACACACTGCTGGTCCCTGTTGTTTTACTGGGCTAACACGCTCACTGCTACCACTTGCAGAGCACAGATCCTACCCTGCACACAAGAGATGAAAACAAATCACACTCCCAAATCCTGGATTTTACTGGGCATTCACAAGAAATGAATTCATCACCAGAGTACTCTATAAACTTGTGTGCAGCTGAAGCCAGGATACTTCCAATGTGTTTTTCATGAAACCTATTGTGCGAGTCTTGCCTTGAACTAACCAGCAGTGGTTTTAAATGCCGAAGTTATAAATACAAAATTTAAAATGTTTCCGGCATCACACTTCTCAAAGAACTTGTTTAAGTTTTTTAAGTTACAAGAATTTGCAGCATCCTGTAAAAAATTACTTTAAAATTTATTTCAAGGTGATTGCTGTTCTCCTAAAAGACATCTTGTCCTAATATCCTGAGAAACATATTTGTTGATTTGAAAAATGTAAGTATCATAGTGACTTGGAAAGCAGATCGATGAAGGCAAGCATCGCCACTAGCACCACAGCAACTGCTGAAATGTTTTCCTGTTTCACTGCTGGGGTGGTCTAAGCCTTGTACGGGCTCCATCAAACTGAACCAGCTCAGGTGTCCAAAGCACACGAACGAACCCAGCTCACGTTTAATTTCACAGCACAAAACCTCACGTTTGGTGTTCGGGTTTTTTTTAAGGGTTTCTTTCTTTTTGCTCGGCGCACTTAGGAGAACTTCAGCCCGCTAAGGGCAAGGAGGCGAGCGAGGTCTCTGCGAGCCCCGAGCGGACCCCGGCCCCCCGCGCTCGGCACCGGCGGGTCCCGCGGGGCCGCCGGAGCCTCGCCCGGGAGCGGCGC